TACTCTCTGGAGTCTTAAGACTCTAGACATTTGGCACCCAGTATTCCAAATGGCTATGTTGCATTTTGGAAAGCAAGTCTTTGACTTCAACACCTATACATACAAACACAGGGGCCCCACTACACAATAAAACTCTAAGAAAAAGCATGAAATTAAACATGCACAACTCAACTCACAAAACCCCAACAGCGGACCCTCAGAGAACATCCCGTCCCGGCCGTCCGTCATACCTGCAAGTACACTCGGACAAGAGACAGGGAAGAAAGAAAAAACTGCAAAAGAAAAAAAGAGAGGGTTAGTCTGTGCACTAATGAACTTGATTTCAACATCAAATCAAAGAGTTTCCCTCCAAAACGCCATTCTTCGTCACTTTTTGGGAAGAATTTTCCTCGAGAGTCAGCTTTTCTGCTGTGATTTACTCTCTGGAGTCTTAAGACTCTAGACATTTGGCACCAGTATTCCAAATGGCTATGTTGCATTTTGGAAAGCAAGTCTTTGACTTCAACACCTATACATACAAACACAGGGCCCCACTACACAATAAAACTCCAAGAAAAAGCATGAAATTAAACATGCACAACTCAACTCACAAAACCCAACAGCGGACCCTCAGAGAACATCCCGTCCCGGCCCGTCAATACCTGCAAGTACACTCGGACAAGAGACAGGGAAGAAGAGAAAAAGACTGCAAAAAAAAAAGAGAGGGTTAGTCTGTGCACTAATGAACTTGATTTCAACATCAAATCAAAGAGTTTTCCCTCCAAAACGCCATTCTTCGTCACTTTTTGGGAAGAATTTTCCTCGAGAGTCAGCTTTTCTGCTGTGATTTACTCTCTGGAGTCTTAAGACTCTAGACATTTGGCACCAGTATTCCAAATGGCTATGTTGCATTTTGGAAAGCAAGTCTTTGACTTCAACACCTATACATACAAACACAGGGGCCCCACTACACAATAAAACTCCAAGAAAAAGCATGAAATTAAACATGCACAACTCAACTCACAAAACCCCAACAGCGGACCCTCAGAGAACATCCGTCCCGGCCGTCGTCAATACCTGCAAGTACACTCGGACAAGAGACAGGGAAGAAAGAAAAAAGACTGCAAAAGAAAAAAGAAGAGGGTTAGTCTGTGCACTAATGAACTTGATTTCAACATCAAATCAAAGAGTTTCCCTCCAAAACGCCATAACACGCCATTCTTCGTCACTTTTTGGAAGAATTTTCCTCGAGAGTCAGCTTTTCTGCTGTGATTTACTCTCTGGAGTCTTAAGACTCTAGACATTTGGCACCAGTATTCCAAATGGCTATGTTGCATTTTGGAAAGCAAGTCTTTGACTTCAACACCTATACATACAAACACAGGGGCCCCACTACACAATAAAACTCCAAGAAAAAGCATGAAATTAAACATGCACAACTCACTCACAAAACCACAACAGCGGACCCCTCAGAGAACATCCCGTCCCGGCCGTCGTCAATACCTGCAAGTACACTCGGACAAGAGACAGGAAGAAAGAAAAAGACTGCAAAGAAAAAAAAGAGAGGGTAGTCTGTGCACTAATGAACTTGATTTCACAACATCAAATCAAAGAGTTTCCCTCCAAAACGCCCATTCTTCGTCACTTTTTGGGAAGAATTTTCCTCGAGAGTCAGCTTTTCTGCTGTGATTTACTCTCTGGAGTCTTAAGACTCTAGACATTTGGCACCAGTATTCCAAATGGCTATGTTGCATTTTGGAAAGAAGTCTTTGACTTCAACACCTTATACATACAAACACCAAGGGGCCCACTACACAATCAAACTCCAAGAAAAAGCATGAATTAAACATGCACACTCAACTCACAAAACCCAACAGCGGACCCTCAGAGAACATCCCGTCCCGGCCGTCGTCAATACCTGCAGTACACTCGGGACAAGAGACAGGGAAGAAAGAAAAAAGACTGCAAAAGAAAAAAGAGAGGGTTAGTCTGTGCACTAATGAACTTGATTTCAACATCAAATCAAGAGTTTCCCTCCAAAACGCCATAACTTTCTTCGTCACTTTTTGGGAAGAATTTTTCCTCGAGAGTCAGCTTTTCTGCTGTGATTTACTCTCTGGAGTCTTAAGACTCTAGACATTTGGCACCAGTATTCCAAATGGCTATGTTGCATTTTGGAAAGCAAGTCTTTGACTTCAACCCTATACATACAAACACAGGGGCCCCACTACACAATCAAACTCCAAGAAAAAGCATGAAATTAAACATGCACAACTCAACTCACAAAACCCCACAGCGGACCCTCAGAGAACATCCCGTCCCGGCCGTCGTCAATACCTGCAAGTACACTCGGACAAGAGACGGGAAGAA